CCTGCACCACACACACGGGGGTGAGAAACACCTGAGTCCGGGGGATGGCAGACAAGCAGACGAAGCGGTTACGGGTGAACATTTTGCGTACCTGCGGGTGTCAGGATGTTCATGCCGTCCGCCTCGAACCAGGTCTGGTACTGCTGCCTTACACTCGCCTTGAAGCTTTTGTTGACCGACACATCGAGCGGCTGCAGGTCTGCCGTGCATCCCGCCAGGATGACCGCCGGGATGATGTTGAGTTCCGCGAATTTCGCCTTGACTTCGGGTGTCAGGTGACCGCGGTAGGAGTCGAGCACCAGCATGGCGCTCCGGCTCTGCACTCCGAACTTCGGTTTCAGGAACGGCACCACGCCTTTGGCGAGCCACTCGATGACGCCCGAGGCCTCCATCCACCCGTTAGCTTGGCAGCCGACCACGACATCTGCAGTCAAGCAAGCGATGGTTAAATGTAAGTTTTGTTTTTCCCCACTGAAACACGCGCATGCGCCAGTTCTTACCGTTCGGGAAGTCACCCTTTGGGAGGGTCTTGCGCTTGAAAAACACCCACAGCTTCAACTTCTCGCCTGTCGCCGTGCACGCCAGCATCACAGTGACCCTCTCTTTCTGGTATCCACCGCTGCGGATGGGCACCGACTTCACGCCCGTCTGCTCCACCGTGGTTGTCGCCGGCATCTCCAGCCACAACGGCGTCTGGTCGGCATTGATGATGTAACGGTTGTCGATGTCGTACTCGTGGCGTGCGTCGCGGACAAACTGCCAAAACTCCTTGCACTGCTTTGCCACGTCTGCGCACGGGAGGGGCAGTTAAAAGGGAGGATGAGCACGCTTCCGTTAAGCAAACATGGGCAAGAGAGTTGACATTAATACAAGATAGAATTTCACGACAGAATGACAGTGCACGGACAGGCACTTACGCTGCTGTGTCTTTTGCGCCACCTTTGTTTTCATGCGCACAGTGAGATTCCACCGCTTGCGGAAACGCTCCGTCCAGCGCTGACTCGCCTTCCACTTGACGTCCGGGAACAACACCTTCATCACCTCCTTGGACCAGTCCTGCAGCCGGCCGACCGATACTGCCACACCGCGGCGTCGCCAGTCCAGGAGTTGGGCGTACACCTTCATCTCCATGGGTCTGTACCAGGAAGCACGTCCGCGCCCATGAAGTCGACACCGAGCGCCGTGTGCAGCCTTGAGCTCGTCCGCTTGGTTTTTCCACTCCGTGAGGCATTTGCGGTGTATGCCGGACTCCCGCGCGACCTCGCTTATCGATGCCGCAAGCTCCAGCCGAACGAGCCACTTCAGTTTCTCCTGGGCGGTGTAGCGCTGCCGTTTGTGTTGAGTCATCTTGTGCCTGGGAGAGGGGGGGCGGGCATCTCGGTTCTCAGAGGAGGGGTGGGGTCGTTTTTTGTTAATCGGCGGATAAGTTGGTATCGGCATCTTCTGGCGGGGTGCGTCGCGCCACCAAGATTCCACACCGTCGTCGTCCGCGTCTGTAGCTTCACGATCTGGGAACACATCCTCCTCGGCGCCATCTTCAGCGTCCACTCCACCGTCGCCTCCAGCGTCGCCGTCGGATGTGGGTTCTTTATCGGCGGCCACTTCATCGTCGGCGCCCACAGCCGACTCGTCCCAGGTGCAGGCTTCTGGATTTCCCCACCGCGGTGCACTCGGCGGAGCATCGATTCGATTAGGCTTGGGTGTGTCAGGTTCAGACAGCCACTCGTCGAAAGTGGCTGGCAAATACAGCTGGAGCACGGGCCGTTGGTGAGAATTCGCGTCAGGAACGGGAGGACTTGGAGGATTCGGAGGAGCGGGAGGAGCAGGAGGATCAGGAGGTGCAGGAGGAGCAGGCGGAGCAGGCGGTGCAGGGGGTGTAGGTGGCACTGGCGGCGCTGGCGGCTCACGGGTATACCACCCGTCCTCGGTTAGTCGCCACGCGCGCGTTGGTTTCTTCTTGAAAAGGAAGTGCGTACCACTGAATTCCGCCATGGCTTCGCCAGCCAGGCGGGCTAGACTAGAAACTGAATGAAAAAAAATGAGGAGGAGGGTGCAGAAATGGGCAACGACGGGGACCCCTGCGGGCTAGCGGCTCGGGGTCCTCGTCAATGTCAGGCAGGAAACCCCCGCCTACCCTCGTAGAGGAACCTGCGTGGCAGCATATTCGCTGCGCTGGCAGGGAATCTTGCCACCCTTCGAGAGGGTTCGGAAAGAAATGCAGCTGCCACGCAGCGCATGCGGCTGTGATTGGGCCGCACGACAACATCCCCGTCACTGCTGTCACTTTCGATGGTTCTAGACAGCTTTGTGCGGTGGGAAACCGAACCGCAGCTGTTTTTGCCCCAAATTCCATGCACGATCCCACTTGTTGCATGGTCTGTTGGATTCGCCTTATTGCGGGCTTCAGTTTAGTATGTTTAAAAGTGAATTCCATTTTTCCCTTACTAAAGGCGCATGCGCTTATACAGACACCTCATTTAGAAGCGCACCCCCCCCAAAAAACCCTGTTTTATTATAAGCGCACCTGCGCTTTTATCCGGGGTAATACGGTAGCAAACCCTAAAGTGTTACTCACTAATGAGCAACTCACTCTAAAACTAACACATATGTATAATCTGACAGGCCTCTCTCATCATGCATGGCCTCTCACATCATGCATGGCCTCTTTCATCATGCATGCCCCCTCATCATCACCTTACTTGTCGACGACATAGGCTAGACCAATATATACCGTATGCTTTGGAAACTCGGGGCAACATTTATCTACACAAGCACATACAGGGCCTTTGTACGGTTCATGGTACACTGGTGTCACTCATTGCTTGTCTGGCACCAGTATGTTGTTAATGCCATGGACATAGAAGGATGTGCCCTTGTACAGGTTGGGATACACTATGGTGGCGTTGCGCTCATTGGATGGCGCCTGCAGCACCACGTGCGTTGCGTTGCTCGCACTGTTCTTCACCAGGTACTTTCCTGGAAGCAGCGTTGCATACTGGCGGAGAGGGGAGCAGAAGGGATGGGTATGGTGCGGGGGAGGGAGGAGTGGCAAGTCAACGGTGAGCTGAGGAGGCATAGGGGATTAAGAACGAATGTGATGAAGCAACAGTGACCCGGAAGACAGAGGAGAAGTGAAGTGACCCTGAAAAAACCGTGCAAGTAGCACACTAAAACACATGAACGGAAGCTTGAAGTGAACATATCAGTCGTTTTGTTTGTTCCTCCCCTTTTAACAACAGTCTCGTAACAAGAAGCGTGGAGTGCACACACCTGCGTGCCAGGAGCACCCGCTAGCAGATCCGCGTGTGATTTATATCCATCAATGATTTGATACAGTGTAGTTTCGTCTGTAGTGTAACCGTTACAGACTGTCACTGCTCCGCCCACTACAGCGTCCATGGCGTTGGGCAGGGGCATGAGAATGGTGGCCTTCTTGTTGCCTCCTAGAATGTCGCGCATTGTGGTTACCAGATCTGATGTGCCAGAGAGGTGGGAGGAAGGGAGGGACGGGGGAGGGAGGGAGGGAGGAAGAAAACAGCATCCATGGCGTTGGGCAGGGGCATGCGGATTGGCCTCGAGAAATTTTGCGCAGTGTGGTTACCAGATCTGATGTGGAGAGGCGGGAGAGAAGGGAGGGACGGAGGCAGGGAGGGAGGGAGGGGGTGAGGGACGGAAGATGAATACAATGTAACAGAAAAGAACAAGAGATTGAGCGAGGGCGCATGGGCACACGCATGGACGCGTGGAAGCGAGACGCACCTGACTGCGACGCCAGGAGGAACGCACCGGAGGGAAGATGAATGCAACAAAGAGGAGAACACGAGAGTGAGCGACGGCGCATGACGCCCGCATGGACGCCGCATCGGGACGCACCTGACTGCGACGCCATGAGGAGGAACGCCGGGCTCCCCGCCGCCAGCGCCGCCAGCGCGCCCTGAATTTCCGTCAGCTGCGCTGACGTGGCAGCCGACAGCAGATTCCGGCGGTCCGTCGGCGAAGCGGCACCGGCGATGGGAGGGATGGACGACGCGAGGAGGAGAAGCACGACGGCGGCGGCGGCGAGGACGGATCGCGACGCGCCGAGTGCATCATGCCGCGTCGCTTTGGCGGCGAGAACGACTGGTGTCATTTTGTGGCCCTTTCGTCTGTTTGGGGGAAGAAAGACTGCTACTATCTACGAGGGACGGGCGCTAACAAAACGAGATTAGGTCGGTCAGGACGACGGGGAAAAATGACGTCTCCAGAGGCGGCGCGCGTGAAGGAAACCTGCGTTCAGTGCTGTTTCCGAGACGAAGCTTGGTGAAGGAGACGTTGCACCAGGCAGGTTCGAGACTGCGAGCTGACGCCTCTTGCGGCGAAGTTCCAGGAGTCACGACAGGTGGGTGTGGGGGAGGGAAACGGGCGAGGGTGGAAGAGAGGCGCGCGGGGAAGATAGCAACCAGAGGATGGAAGTACTACGAATAGGATTCAGCGATGCAAGCGCAGACGCAGAATTCGAAGTGTCCAGGTAAAATTGGAGACGGATTCGGGTGGGAGGGCTGGTAACAGTAGTGTAAGAAAGGTGGCTACTCCCAGAAACACGGAGCATGGGAGCAGAAAGGTGAACAAACCTTTCAACCGTTTTCAAATGCAATTCCTCGCCGAGAACCTTACCAAACCGAGGGAGGGAAGCAACACATACTTGGTTGGTTGGTGGTGTGGCGTGAGCAGAGAAGTGGAGGGGGAGGCGAGGCGAGTTGGGGAAGGCGATGGTTGTGCGCCGCCCACCACGCTCGGACGACAGCTGGTGCTGGGCTGGCGACGCGCACCGACCTAGGTGAATGAGCGGCCTTCTGATAAATTTCGATGCAGTAGTGTACATTTAGCCTAAATTCAAAAATCAAATCATGAATGAAAATACTAAAAAGTGCTCTCTCACTCCACAATAACCCAGTTCCACAGAAAGCATTTCTATTGACGACCTCTGTTGTTTCCTTACCTTCTAATCCTCGAATAACTACCTATCCCCAACCTCCCCCCATGCCCCCATCTCCAGGCCTGTCCATGCGATAATTCCCGTGCGGCCCCGCATGCCTCGAAGGGGGAAGTGGAGGCATGTTATAGCCTGTCATACCACCTCCATCCACCCCTCCACCCATCCCAACCCCTCCCATACTTCCACCCATCATCCCCCCTCCCATACCTCCTCCCATTCCCCCACCCATCCCTCCTCCCATCCCTCCTCCCATGCCCCCTCCCATTCCCCCTCCCATGGCACCACCGGGGCCACCAGCAAAAGCACCCAGCCCCCCTGAAGAGGGCCCTTGGGGGAAGACTTGCCCCCCTGCAAAGGCACCTCCATCTCGCGCCATCCCTCCCATACCTCCTCCCATTCCTCCCATTCCTCCTCCCATGCCTCCTCCCATGCCTCCTCCCATGCCTCCTCCCATGCCTCCTCCCATGCCTCCTCCCATGCCTCCTCCCATACCTCCTCCCATACCTCCTCCCATGCCTCCTCCCATAATGCGGGAATTCTGAGCTTGCTGGTTCTGCTGCTGCTGCTGTTGGTGGGAGGGCGAGGGGGAAAAGGGAGGGTAGGAGGGAGTGGGTGGTGTGGCAGGCAGGTAGTTGGCAGGGAGAGGGGGCATGGTGGGGGGGCGGGCAGGGGCAGGGGGAGAGGAGAATTGGGGTGGGAGAGATGAGGGCGCGGAAGGGAAGTGAGGAGGGAGGGGAGGTTGCCGGGTGGATTGTGGGGGGTTGGGAGGGGTGGAAGGGGTGGGAGGTGGAGGGAGAGGGGGACGATTGAGAGAGGGAGAAGGGAAGCCAGAATGAGGAGGATTAGTGGGAGTGGATTGGAATGTATTGCTGCTGGGAGGAAGAGGAGGGTGGGATGGAGAGTGGGTGTGCGAAGAGAAGAAGGTAGAGGAAGGGGAGGAAGGAGGAGCAGACAGTGGAAGGGGGGGTTGAGGGAGGGTAGGGGGGCGGGGGACAGGAGGAGGGTTGGGTTGGGAGGGGAGGTTTGAGGGAGCGAGTGAGGGAGGTGGAAGGGGGCGGGAGGGAAGGGATGAAGGGGGAGGCGGAAGTGGAGGGTGCTTCTGCTGTTGTTGCTGCTGGTGCTGCTGCTGCTGCAGTTGCATGGGAGACAATGAGGGTGCAAGCGGGGTAAAGCCGCCTGAACGAGCAGATTCTGGAGGAGAGGGAAGAGGGGGCGCAGCAGAGTGCAGAGGGAGGGGTGGCTGGCGCGCGGGCGGCGGGAGGGGAGGGGGGAGGGAGGCTGGGGCGTGTGGGGAAGCAGATGGGGCGTGGGGGGAAGCGGAGGGCCTGAGGGAAGCAGGTGAGGGGGGAAGGGGAGCAGCAGTGGGGGATGCCCGCCCTGCACTGAGTGTGCCTCCACCAGCTGCACCCAACCCCACTGCCCCCACTGCTCCCCTTTCACCACCCCCGGCCCCCCCACCACCTCCTCCCCTTCCTACCCCTCCGCTCCCTCCTGCCTTTCCTCCGCCCAGCCTCCCACCAGCAACACCACCCGAGGGACCCGCAGTGACTCCAGCAGCGGCGGCATTTGCACCTGCTCTACTCGGCCCAGACCCCCCAACCATCCCACCTGAACCTCCCCCTCCCCCCCCTGCTCCTGCTCCTCCTGTTGATCCCGCTCCTGCTGCTCCGGCTGCTACTGCCGCTGCCATCGCTGCTGCTCCTGCTAGCCCTGCTGTCGCCCCTGCCACTGCGACTGCCTTCCCTCCCCCATCCGCCAACACTGACCGCCCAAAGCCCTGCCCATGCCACCCCTCTTCATGCCCCTCCTCCCCTCCCTCCGCCCCTCCCATCGCGCATATACTTTCAGGCGAGGTGGCGGGAGTGAGTGAGGGAGGAGTGGGGAGGAGGAGGTGGGGGCGGGAGGGGTGGGGGGCGATCGATGGGTGGGCGGAGCGGGTGTGGGAGGAGAGGAGGGAGAGGCGGGGGAAGGAGAGGAAGCAGTTGGGGGCGGCGCAGATGTAGAGGCCGCCTTGGTAGGCGGAGACGGGGTGCACTGCTGTGATAGGCGCCAGACACCTGGTGGGAGGGAGAGAGGGAATGAGGGACGGAGCGAGGGAGGGAGGGAGGGAGAAATAAGAGTGCGGATGGGCATGGGGGGCAAAGGAACAAGGTGTAGAAGTTGGGTGCAGCGCAGATGTAGAGGGTGCTGGGAGGGCGGGATGGTGAGGGGATGCGTGAGGGGGTGGGTGAGGGGATGGCGGGATGGGTGAACAGATGGAGAGGGGAGGGGAGGATGGTCACGTCACAGGGATGGGGAGGAGGAGAAAGGAAGAAGGTTGCGACGTATGGGTGTGAATAGCGTGATAAAACAAAATAATTATTGGCAAGATTTTTTCGACGGTACACGTGTCACCAAAACAGAAACCTGGGAGGGAGTTTCAGACTTGGGGTGGAGGGGAGCACGTGGTCTGCTATAAGGCGTGTGCTCCATACAATAGAGCAGACATCTTCTGAAATCATTGCGCGGATGGTTTTTACGGTGCGAGACATCTTTAGTGATGAGGAGATAAATACTATACGGATCAACAGAGCCACGCTCTTGAGTTGGTGGAATATGATTAAAGACGCAAAATTGGAGAGGGAACAGTGGGGTACTGACGGCAGATACCTGCCAAGCGTTTGGGTCCGTGTTCAAAATGCGAGGGTGCTGGAAGGGGTTGCTATTACGGGAGAATCCACGCGTAGCAGCCCCATGATAGCAGCCCCTTCCAGCACCCTCGCACTTTGAACACGAGCCCAAACGCTTGGCAGGTATCTGCCGTCAGCACCCCACTGTTCCTCTCCAAGTTTGTGTCTTAAATCATATTCCACCAACTCATAAGCCTCACTGTAGAAAATTTGCACAAACGTTTTCACGTCGTAATTCCGACTCGAAGTCTCGAAATCCAAAAGCCGCTTGACGAAAAAGCACCCCCAAACCAAACCAACTAACATTTCAGCCCCCAACTACTTTGAACACCGCACAACATCGACAATATCCAACCCACGCACAACACAAATACCTGATGCTGCAAACTCCAACTCGCCATTAAGGCTTCTCTTTTTCTCGACCAGCAATTATAACTGCAACTTAAACGCAATTATGTCACTTCGCAACAGCCACTTCGCAGGCAATTATGTCCCGAAACCAATCCAAGGGCGGATCTTTTTTGCCTGACTTTTTTAGCTGCCCGCCAAAGCATTTTTACAGCTATTGAAATAATCGCTGGACTCGCAAAGCTCTGAACGCTAATGGGCTGGTATGCAGCTCACCTCGCCCTCTTGCAGACTTGCATCCACCCACAGGTGCACACCCACAGAGCAGCCAGGAGGGCGTTAAGGGGCTGGCATGAAGGGGTTTAACGGGGTAACGGGGCTGACCTGTAGCAGGCTTTGAGCGCAGAGGCACACTTGAGGCAGAATGCGTGCGTGCATGGCTCCTGGTGGTGGGGATGGGGATGGATGGATAAAGACACGACTTGAGGCGAAAAACATGCATACGAGAATTGAGAAGGTATGAAACCGAAGCAATCAGCTTGAGGCAGAAGGGGTGTGAGCAAAACTCCTGGTAGTGGGGGTGGGATGGATGAATGGTATCAGTATGCATGGGGGGAGGGAAAACGCACAAGCAGAAAAAAACACTTTAATGGAAGGCGTGTGAGCAGCAGAGATCCTGGTGGTGGGGGAATGGATGAGCGGCAGGTTGAAGATAGAGTGGGCATGGACCCGGAGGAGCATTCAATCAAACCTGCATGACCAAACAGCCAAACCCAGACTAGACCATGCCGAACCGGTTCGTTTTCGACCCGGGCCTGGCCTTTTTCTTCGTATGGTCGGCTTGGGTCGGGCCGGGTTGGGTTCGGCCCGGGGGAAGTGAAGTGACAAGGTTCGACTTTTGCCAGCTTGCGGAAAGTCGAATCGGGTCCGGGCCGGTTTGACTCAAGCCGCGGCCCAACGGGAATCTTGCGCAGCAGCCCACCCGTAACACATGTGAGAGATTGCGCGAGGGTGGTTTTAGGATGACGCGATGAAAGGCTGGACTGGAGTTCACTTCTTAGCTCCAGCCTTCGTCTTCTGGCCAGCCTAGTCTCTGAATGACCTCATTCCCCACCAAAGTATTGTGTTTGTATGACTGGCTTCCAATAGTTAGTGAAACTAATTACCTTTGAGGCGCCTGAAAACAAACTAACAACAACGAGCCGACTAAGGTTCGACCCATGCCGGCCGGGGTTCAACCGTGCTCATGCCTAGTTCAGAAGGGAGTGAGAGAGGAGAATGAGGAGCGAACGCAGAGGTGAAAGAGGAGTAAGGCGTGGCAAGTGCAGGCGGGTGCCCGTGCGTGCGGCGCACCACGTGGTAGTGCGGTTGAGGAGGTGGTGATGGGGGAACGTGCCGGGGGAACTTACGAGGCGGCCATAGGATGCGATGGGGAAGTGGCACTTGGCGCAGAAGTGCAAGCGGCTACCCGAGCGACGCACCACACAAAACCCCTCCACTCGCACTCCTTTCACCTCCCTCTCCCTCACTGCCCTCTCTGCCTCCATCTCCTCCTCCTCCCCCTCCTCCCCCTCCTCCTCTTCTTCCTCCTCATCCTCATCCTCATCCTCATCCTCCTCCTCCTCCTCCTCTTCCTCTTCTTCCTCCTCTTCCTCCTCATCCATCCATCCATCCCCTCCCTCCTCCACTGCCTTTGACCGCTCCCTGCCCTCCCACACCTCTTCCCCCTCCTCACTCTCCTCATCCGACTCCTCCTCTTCCCCCTCCTCCGCCTCCTTCCCTTCTTCCTCCTCCTCCTCTTTACTCCCCCCCTCTTCCCTCGTCTTTTCTGCATTTCGGCCATTTCCCCCCTCCCGCTCCTCCTTCCCCTCCCCCTCGTATTCCTCTCTATCAATCTCGTCTTCTCCATAATCCACCTTTTCTTCCTCCTCCTCCTCCTCCTCCACCTCAACCTCCTCCCCTTCCCCACCCGCTTCCTCCCCTTTCTCCCCTGCTTCCGCCACGATCTTCTCTGTCCCCTCGTCCCCGCTCTCCCCGCTCTCCCCGCTCTCCTCGCGCTCTTCGTGTTCGCCGAATCGCTCTTCTCGCCCCTCGTCGCGCCGCGCCGCCTCGGCCTGCTCGTTCCGATCCATCTCCCTCGTCGGCCGTCGCTCACTCCTCTTCGCTTTCGTCGCCACCGTAGTCGCCATCGTCGTCGCCGCATCGCCATCGTCGCGCACCGCGGCGACTGTTTCCGCCGCCAGTCGTCGCTTCACTCCGCCCATCGTCGCCCGCTTGGTGTTCTCCGCGCCAACCTGCTATCGAGTCTGCGCGCACACTGGCGGGGAATAAGGAAGCGGAACTTCACACCTGCAGTTGCATGCGTCAACCCAACCCTGCTATCGAGAGTCCACGCTCTCTCTCGCGCGCGCGCACAAGGAGCAGCGATGCGCCCTGGCGAGAAGGGACTGGCGTTTCACATCCGCTGCTGTTCAGCATCGAAAGGTCAACATACAGGGACGGAGCAGACGACAAACCCACGGCACAAAAACGCCGTGCATGAGTATGCGGGTTTCACAACTGAACTGAAATGCATTAAAACTACAGAATTTGCTATGAATGTTTAAAACGAGGATACGAGTAGGGTAGACTCGAGTTAGGCGAGGCTCGGCAAGGCTTCAACAGGTGTGGTAGCGCGAAAACGTAGGTGAGAGCCTCGAAATTTCCTGCTAAAGTAAACATCAGCAAGATTTACAGTATCATTCCTTCCACTTCTCGGGCATGTCAAACTTAGAGCGCATGAACAAGGAGCTCGTAAGGACCACCATATATCGGGACAATTTAGACCCGCTACTGAAAAGTTTGCTGATGTAACCAAAGAATCGAAGTGGATAGAATAAGTCTGCTAAGGTTAAGAGTGTTGGAATAACCGAAAGGTTATTATAAGCATTCCCGAAGGCTCTCCACTGTCGCGTCTCCTCATAGCGAAGCAGAGGCTTGTACCAGTACCGCACTAGCTCATATAGAGCACACGGAAGGTCGAGGGTCACCCGAAGGTCAACAGTCGAAGACAGTCAACGGTCGTGACCCTTGACTGCCAAGTAACCGCACAAGGCAGTTGCGAAGTGCAACATGGTAACTGTCTAGAATGGCAATAGTCGCGCGTTACTGTAGCAATGTAATTCAGTTAATAAGGGAATGTACCCTTCAGAGTACATGGCTATTTATATCCCTGTACTTCTATCTTATAATCATCTTGTTCTCTTTCAGTTCACCAACAAGGTCATTACAGAGACTTTCTGTTCTTTCCTTTACACTTGGCATCCTTATCCTATCTACTACGATCCTTTAGTAATAACATCATGGTATGAGAGCTAGAGTGGATTATAAGGCCTGCCAAGCTCTTGTTCTTGCTAGAACAATCTCTCTATAAATTATTCATTACAGCATCAAAGACTCTGCATAACTATGGCTCCAGAAGGAAAAGTCACTGCAGACTCCCCGGGCCCACCATCAGCAACACCCACTGCACCATCTGCGGTGACCTCCATCAGCGCTGCTCTCGTTGAGCAGCTGGTCGCCCGCATCAACGCTCTTGAGAGCCATCAGGCGATGAGCGTAGATGGCTCAAGTTATGCACGTGGCGTCGCTGGACTTCCTCTCCCAGGAGAAGACCGCCGCGTCAACTCCGAGAGGTCATTCACGTTTGACAACCGTCAAGCTTCAACTCCTGCGCAAGACAGTCAACAACGCGCACATTCAGATACGATTGCAACAATGCAGACAAAATTCGTTCTGACATCAAAGCTGAAAACATCAGTTCCTTTCGACGGAAAGGACTTCTCTCAGTAGATCTGCACTGTGGATGCCCGATTGATCCTACGAGGGGTTACAGGCGCGTTCGCCTGGGGGGTTATGGGCGCACTGACCCGCTACTTAACAAGCTCTTTTATCCCAATGGTCTAGTGGTTGGGATTCTGACATGGTATCAGAGCGGTCTCGGGTTCGAATCCCGGTGTATGCACATGTAGGCCGTTGCCGCTGTGCTCAGTCCTGGGCCTCCCAGTGTGGGGGGGTCTCAGTAGATCTGCACTGTGGATGCCCGATTGATCCTAGGGGGGTTACAGGCGCGTTCGCCTGGGGGGTTATGGGCGCACTGACCCGCTACTTAACAAGCTCTTTTATCCCAATGGTCTAGTGGTTGGGATTCTGACAACTTCTACACTTGGAGCTTCGAATTTGAGCTCCTCGCGACAACTGCGCAAATTTGGATGTACTACGACGGGAGCTTACCGTTTCCAACGGAAGGCACCATCCAAGAGAAGAACCAATACTACCACAAATCTCTTCTCGCGTACACCACTCTGCTCCGAAATCTCTCCCCCGACGAACAACTTGGCATTCGCTCCTACAAATCAGAGTGGGCGCCCGCGTACGCCTCTTGGGAGCACCTGCGCAACTCATACATGGCAACAGATCCAGTCACGATGAGTCGCCTTCTCAGCCAACTTACATCAGTCAAAATGCATCAAGGGGAGAAAGCGGGACCACATATCAACCGGTGCCGCAATCTGCGCGACCACATCAAGAAACGCGGCGGATCCGTTCCTGACGACATGTTCGTCTCAATGGTCCTCTCCGGCCTCGGACCCGACTGGCGTCAATGCCAATCTTTGCCCCGCGCTCGAGCAGCCGTCTCCGAATCTGCCCTGTGCACCACACTTCTCTCTGAACAAAAGGAGATCGACCTGTACAACGAGAAGAACACCAAGCGGGAGAAATTAGTCTTCTACGTTGGAGCAACTGAAGGGGAGCAGCACGGAAAGAAAGGAACATTCTGCAAGTACTGGAAGAAGCCTGGGCACACTATTGATCGGTGCTACAAGCGAAAGGCAGCCGACGAAAGACGCAATAACCCCTCGAGTCTTCAACCCCCAACGGCTTCAACCTCTTCCGCCGCAACAACCACCGTATCGCCTCCCTCCGTCGCAAGCACCTCGCAGACACCTGCACGCATTACGACCAAGGACAAAGGCAAAGGGACAATTATGAGTTGCATGGCTCACTGCAACAGAGGTTTTCGCTACTACGATCGGGTAACATTCGCGTTTGACGATCCCATTGACCCTGTTGCACCCAGGCAAGATAACGATCCCACCGTCTCTACCTGGATCAATTCCCCGCAAAGGTACCCACCTGACTTCGAGTTGCCACCTCCGACGCCGGAATCACCTCCCAGTATTTCGGCGAACAGATACTTCGCTCTCTCGCCATACACCGGCGAAAAGGACCGCGTGGTTACACCAAAAATTGCCAACATCGCGCGACAGAGCCGCGAGCATATTAACACCTGGTACCTGGACAGCTGCTGCGGACAGCACATGGTGGGATCGCCAACGTTCATCAGCAACTCCAAACGCATGCGCCGACCCTGCGAGATCACGGTAGCAAACAACGGCACAGTCAAAGCATACGACATCGGTGAAATATTCCTTGAATCTGACGATACAAGATTCACGATTCACATCGGTGACGTGCTTGTCGCTCCAGATCTGCGGTACAACCTGCTTTCCTCGGCACAGCTCATGCGGTGCGGAGTCGACATTCGAAGCAATCGCAAAGACAAGACCTTCGAACTCATTTATAACAACACTTACATCGGCAAGGCAGTTGATAACGACGGGGTCTTCGTACTGCAGTTCTCAGCGCAAGGCACCACCGGCGATTCTCACCGCACCTTGCTCCTGAAGACGACTCCTTCAGAGACACCGACTTGGTCACATCCCACCGAAATGGATCTTCAGCGTCCCGCCTCGGATGGCCTTCTGCGACTGCGTGCCGTTCCGACTGCCTCAACCTCCAACCCAGCTGAAACTGGACCTGCAACAATGGAAGAAGACAGCGGCACGTCAGCACCTACGGAGCCAGTCACTGAAGAAAGCGAGAAAACTGGATCTCGATCAGGCAGTCCCGGCCCTGCACTTGGTCCCCTGGGAGAAGTTCTAACGCCAGAAGAGGCAGCGGCAGAAGGGCGGGACACCATCTCGGCATCTGGAGGCGACGCCACTGCTCCAACAGATGCTGGCGCCGACACCGGAGGCGGCTGGGGAACCGGAGGTGGCTGGGGAACTTCAACAAGCGAAGGAGGATGGGGGCAAGCTGCTCCTGCCTATCCCGAAGCTCCGGGACTTCCCTCAGCAGAAATCGTGGCAATCGATCCCTATTGGGCAACGCGCGGCACCAGCTGGGGCGGACCTCCTCTCCCTGATCAATACGCTCCTGACACACCAGAACCAATGCAAGAGGAGTCAGAGGAAGAAGTGACTTACGAACTCTTCGGCGAGGCAGCTGAACTACCGGAACCTACCGAAGAACCGCCGCCACCAGAACAAGGTCCACAGGAGATTGAAGTCATCGGGGCCGAGTACAACTACTTCCGAATTCCCATGAAGGGACTACCAGTTCGCGACTTGCCCAACCAGTGCCTGCTTGTTACCGGAGACCAAGTCGACGCCGGCGACACCGACGACATCATCGGTATTCCTCACGCGCTTCTGGAACGAAAGTCAATTCACGCGTTCGCCGCCGATGCAGGACCTGAAGGGGAGGCAAACGACGAAGCAGCAAGACACAAATATTATCAGAAAACAGTCGGCTATCGCGCGGAACCAGAAATCTGGCATCAACGGCTCGGGCACCCCTCTCACATAACACTCAAGAACTCTCTGCGGGCTGGCGTCCTTGACGACGGAGCACTGCTCCTTCCCCGCGGAGGTTCCCTCACCGCAGACTCCGAAGAACCGCCCTGCACAGTGTGTCCTGCCGCATCGCTCGCCCACAAGCCCTTCCCCGACTTATCGCCCGGCTACGAATGCTACAAACCGCTCGAGAAGGTCTACAGCGACTTTATGTGCTTGACAGAGGAAGGGCTCGATGGCGAATACTACACGCTGACCTTCATCGACGCAAGCACTCGCCACGTCTGGGCCGTCAATACCGACTGCAGATCACTCGCTTTCGAATGCTTCATCGCGTGGATGAAGCGAGCTGAATGACAATCGGGACTTAAGCTAAAAAGCTGGCAGACAGACGGAGCCCTGGAGTTCTTCTCAGACGAGTTCAAGGAGCTCTTCAGGAAGAAAGGGATTGAGCACCTGGAATCCCTGCCCTATGCTCACGAGCAGCAAGGAGTAGCAGAACGGACAAATAGGAGCCTTGCCACCAGGATGAGGGCCCTGATGAAGCAGTCGGCCATCCCAACTCGGTACTGGCCGTTCGCCATGAA